GAGCCCACAACCCAGGATCGAACTCTGATCTTCTGGTTCATAGGTCTAAGTTCAACCACTGGGCCCGAGCTCACTCTTAAAGCCAAATATATTAAACTTAAAAATATGGATGGTAAATATTAAAATCTCAATATTGCTTGCAAACATTAAATTGTTACATATATCCACTTAAAATCATGGGTCTAAATTATTCCACTTCACATTTTAAAATGGAATTGCAAAATTAATCTATAATATTAAATTCTCTTAAACGTTATAAATGCCAAAGTAAATAGGTTGTTTCAAAATGTAATGGAGAATATTAATGCTATGACTTTGTTTTACTTCATTATTTCTGTAGTTAATCCTAAATATTCCTGGAGTTACAGGTGCTTATCTGCTAAGGTAGGGGCTTTTGAAGAAGTAGCATCCATTAATGGATTGCAGGGTTTAGACATTCTTGACCACATTAAAAAGAAAGGATGAAAGAGAATAGGAAATAGTAATACGTCACAGAGAGTAAGGGAAGGGATATTGATTTGTAGAACTTGTCTCAGCTAAACATACATCTGTATACAAATATGTATACCCTCGTAAACATATACATAGTATATGTGTACATATAGAAATACATATGCACACACACAAATATGTATAATTTCTGTGGATTAGACTGAGAGTTACTAAGCTGAAAGCTAACACATTTTGGATAAATAAATCTGCCTCTGAGTCAAAGCATGAGGACCAGGAGCACGGATGTGCAAGGGGAGGAGAAGATGAAGTCTCAGCTCAAGCGAAGATAGAACTAATTTCTATTTCCTTCACCTTTTTTTTTTTCTGGCACTCGAAGGATCAGATGATGCAAAAAGCCACAATCACTCCCTGAGAGCCTTTCCTTGCCCTTCCAGAGGAAGTGAAAACCAGTCAGATCCCAAACCTCCTTGACTCAATGTCTCCCCATTCACAATACAGACCAGGCAAAGAGCCTGAGCTAAGGTGTATATGGGGTAAGTTTACTCTGCCACCTATTTCTGTACAGTCAGTGTAAGAACACAGCCTGTGGTAAGCACCAGGAGGCCCAACTGACCAGTTCAAATGCCTATTGCATGCCACGTATTTCTAGGTGCATGGATACAGTAGTAAGCAAACCAAGTCAGTACCATCATGGAGTTTACATTCTATGGCAGTGGTTCTCAACCTTCCTAATGCTGCAACCCTTTAATACAGTTCCTCATGTTGTGGTGACCCCCAACCATAAAATTATTTTCGTTGCTACTTCATAACTGTAATTTTGCTACTGTTATGAATCGTAATGTAAATATCTGATATGCAGGATGTATTTTCATTGTTACAAATTGAACATAATTAAAGCATAGTGATTAATCACAAAAACAATATGTAATTATATATGTGTTTTCTGGTGGTCTTAGGCGACCCCTGTGAAAGGGTCGTTC